GGCATCATCTACTACATCATTGATTACAGTTGCTAGTTCATCATTGGCATCATCTACTACGTTATTGATCACAGTTTCCTAGTGAGCTGCATGAGCTAGTGAGTGTCTCCCCCTGTCAGGAGCTACACCAAGACTAAGAGGCAGGTGAAGAGGTGTTGTAACAGGGGTAAAAGGAGTTGGTGCAGGCTCTGACTGTGAAAAAGGAAATAAGTGTTCCTTAAACACCACATCCGTGCTCACAAAAAATTGTTTATTAGTGAGATCAAGAAGTTTATATCCCTTTTGAGATGAAGAGTGCCCAAGGAAAACAGTTGCCCTGGCTCTTGCCCCAAACATATCATTTTTCACAAGGTTGGTGGCATAACAGAGGCAACCAAAAACCTTTAGATGATCAATTGAGGGTGGCTTTCTATATAATGGTGTCTTCCCTTGTAAAACTTCACTGGGCATTCTATTGATCAAGTAAACAGCTCCTTCTACACATTCGCCCAATATCTAGCTGGTATGCAAGCCAAAATTTCAATGCTCTAGTTGTGTCCAATATGTGACTATGTTTTCTTTCTACGATGCCATTTTGTTGTGGAATATACACATAACTACTTTGATGTGATGTCTCATTGTCTGTCCTAATTATCTTTAGGACTGCAACAAATTGAGTTTTAACAAAAGAAAGGAAATGCTTCAACACAACAATCACATCACTTTTCAACTGCAACAAATATATCCATGTAAACTTTGTATTGTCATTAACAACAGTAAGAAAGAAATGCTTCCTATCATGAGTAGGGGTCCTACAGGGACCCTATACATCCATATACACTAGTTCTAATGGTTTCTCACTTCTAGAGTTATTAATAGGAAACACTAGTCTACTTTGCTTTGCTAATGGACAAATAGGACAGTCCTTATTTATGGAAATATCTAACATCTTATTTTGTAAAAACTGCATATTCTTCATGGTATTGATTGAAGCGTGCCCAAATCTTCTATGTCAAAGACTGTTATCTGCCTCATTTATTTGAACAGCAATATTTGCTTTTGAATTTGCTATCTCTTCTCCAGCTCTTTTCTGTTTCACAATGTATAGGCCACCTTCTTCTCTACCAATTCCCCTCACCCTGTCATTGTAAAGATCCTAGAATACACAAAAATCAGGAAAGAAATTGACAGAGCAAGAGAGTGCCTTGGTTAATTTTGACACAGAAAACAAGTTGAACTTGAAATCTGGGACATATAACACCTGATCCACCTGCATCCCGTCTAAAAAATCTGTTATTCCCATATGAGTTATTTTAGCCTTTTCTCCATTAGGCAAATGCATTTGATCCTTGTTAAACGAGTCTAACTTAGTGTGAGTTCTAAGCATATTTAAATCTGCAGTAATATGATGTGAAGCACCTGAATCTATGATCCATTTTCCAAAACACACATCAGCCATTAAACATGCAGTGATACCTGTCATGTTTGTTTGTGGATTAGTGGTTTCCTTGTTCAGCATCCCTAGAATCTGCTTGTATTGAACCTCCGTAAAGTAGGAACCAAACTTTGTAGCTCAGAACTGTTTCCTCCTTTCATTCCCTCTGGCCTTTTGTCTAATTCAGCATTCCTAGTCACACTGTTAGTTGCATACTTCTTCTTTCCCTTGAAGTCAATTGGATAACCATTCAATTTGTAGCAATTTTCCTTCAAATGACCTTTCATATTGCAATAGTCACATTGCATAAAGGTTTTTTCCCTCTGTAAGGTTGTCCTCGACCAACCTGCATAGCCATTGGATCTACATTCCCTGTCAGTGCTGGAAACGGATTGGATCTTTGACTTTCATCCTCAATAATCATAGCATATGCCTGATTCAAGGTAGGTTCAATAGTCTTCATAAGAATTTGCCTTCTTGCCTGCTCATATGACTCATTAAGTCCATTAAGGAACTGAAGTAACCTCTGACGATGCAGATGCTCAATGTAATCTCTCGATTTTAGGCAGTCACAACCTAGTGAAGGCACTAAGGAATCATACTCCATCCATAACTCCTTTAGTTTGGTGAAATATGCAACAACTGAATCAGTACCTTGTGAAATTGTGGCAATTTCTGTGTAATTGAAAGATACGCACTCGATTCACCTTCTCAAAACGCTCCTGTAGATCTTTCCAAACCATATGTGTATTCGATGCAGAAACAATCCCGCTAAGAAGGTCTAACGACACTGTGTTCATGATCCAAGATAAGACAATCGCATTGCAAGTTTGCCAAACTTCATGCAATTCAGCCTTAAATTGATCCTTTGTGCAAGTGCCAGTCACAAACCCTAATTTTCTCTTAGTTTGAAAGGCAATTCGCATCATCCTGCGCCAAAGACCGTAATTTTCAGATCCTGTGAGCTTCACCGGAATCAAAATTGAGCCAGGAGTGTCCGAAGGATGTACGAAGAGTGGATGAGTGTGATCAATTTTTCTTCTTTCTCATCTCCTATTGTTGAACAGAAAAAGCAGATAATCGACCTTGAAAGAGACTACATCTGAAATATGTGAAATTGCTCAACGAGCGTATAACCCAGTCATTACTGCTCTGATACCATGTTATTTTCCTGAATTTGAGCTCGATGTTCAGAACGTAAGCTCAGCTATGGAGGAAACTTTGTGAAGAATGAAGAATGTAGAAGAAATAGAAAGTCGGTTGTATTATTTTCTACAAAGAAAAAATGTGTACAGTTATCATATATATACAAGTAATAGCTCCACTCTTAATTAAGCCAGCTGGCATAACTAACTAACAGTTCCACTAACTGCACCTAACTGTGGTAACTTCACTAACCTAACTATGGTTACATTCAAGCTAACTACACTACTTACTCCAATAAATAGGATTTTGGTGGGGTTTTACCCTATTTGGATCTCATTTGCATGACTTTGTTTGTGGCTTCATAAGGAATATTTATCTCTCTCTCACACACACACATATGTGTGTGAGAGAGAGAGAAAGAGAGAGAGAGTACTTTAATTTTTATCTCCTAGAGTAATCAATTGGGATATCTAACTAGCTGCTCACCCAACCGCTTAAGCTAAAAACAATCGACAAATGTATGATTGAGGTATAATATGTGTATAATTGTATATAATTAGTGTATAATCTATGTATATCAGCTAGGAAAAGTAAATAGTGAATTCAGCTGATATTTTTGTAAAGATTCATGTATAATGTGTGTATAATCGGACATAATTCAGTCGCAAGTTACCCTTATCTTTGTTCTGTCGAATAAAATATAGCATCATCAACTTGATAGTAGAAAATTCCATTAATGACATATCTTTTAGAAGTGTACGATAATTTATCTCTGTTTAGAACTTCATCAGCAATATAATTCTAGTGAAATCCGAATCACTTGTTAAATACGACAACTCAGTTTCTACTCTTTTACATCTAAATTTTCAGTTTTTCTGGTTAAAAATTAATAGTATAACTTTATATTTTAAAATGTGATTCATCTCAAGTATTATTAATTTGACCTTTGAAAATCAAATTATTCTTTTTTGGATAAGGAGAATCCATAAGGCCTTGCAGAACTTCTATCATTTGTCTTGATTAAATATTAAAATTAGGTATGAAACGCACATCTCCACGACATGTTAAAAATAAAATATTAGAACACAAAAGAAAAAGCAAGGTCACTTTAACAAATAATCCAATATGATTTTTAATATTTATGTTACTTTTTGCTCCTTGGCAATCACATTAAACTCTAGTTTCTCTGAATGCCTCTCCTGTAGAGGATAAGGTGTATAACCAATTAAAGAATAAAGAATACACGATCTATCATTTTTAATTACTTAGATTAAATTAAACAGTAAAATATTAACTCGGCTATTATATACGAGTACTGCTTAAGATGAAGTTGCAACCATTAGACTGCAACTGTAATATTAATTTTTGGCAGTGAAAAAGTTGAAGTTTATAGCCACATTTAACCATGTTTCAAACTTAATATCATTGACTGTACTATATATAATAAAAATTGATAAATAAATTTAAAATTTCATATATATGAGAAAAAAACTCATTCGCCAAAGCCCAAGTAAACAAAAGATACGGCGATTGTTGGGCTATAAACCCAAGAAAAGCTGTTGGAGGCCCAAAAATCTCATTTAATCAATTATGAGCTTCATTAAGGATTAATAATCTTTCTAAACCACACACAAACTTAACCATAGTTAGTACAAGGCATGTCTAGAAGATTTTTTGTTTTCTTTTTTGTGGAAAGCACAATAGTTCACATAACTTACAAGTCACTGTTTAATTAACCAAAAAAAATTAAAAATTTAGTACTCCTTCCGTTCCCATTTATGTAAATCTATTTTCTTTTTAGTCCGTTCCAAAAAGAAACGATCATTTTTCAAATTTGAAAACAATTTAGCTTAAACTTTCAATTCTACCTTTTAATAAAATACTTTTATAACCACACAAATACTCTAAGTCTCGACCAGAAATTACAAAAGTATCATTTTTTCTTAAACTTCGTGCCCAATCAAACAGATACACATAAATTGGAACGAAGGGAGCAATCACTAATTATCACACCATGATAAATCAACCCTTAACTAAAACACACACTTGTCAGCATCAGCAGGGATGACACCGCTTCGTAGAATATTTTGCCATGTGTTTAAAAATATGCACAAAAAAATATATATATATATATATATATGATATAGAAATTTAATATTGTAAAACAAAGTAGAAGCTACCTAAAACCAAAAAATGTAAAAATCAGGACCGAGATTTAAAAAGGTTAAAGTGATACAGCAGCGGACATATTAGCATCCAACTCAAATGAATTGATATGAGCTCTATAAAATTAGTCCAAATATCAAGGCTTTCACTGCGTACAATAGATCGTTGTAGACCTTTGTAGTCCGGCTCTTCCCTAAACCCCGCATATAGCGGAAACTTAGTGCATTCACTTTATGAAATTAGAGTAAAGGCAGTCTTGCTTCTAATACAATCAAAATCAAAGCACAATAACTTAACACTGAAGTTCATAGCTAGAATAAACAAAATATACAAAAGCGTTTCTGGCCAAAATCTATACAGTAACTTCCACATAACAAAAACCAACCTAGTATACTAACAAGTGACAACACATTATATAGGACAATAGGAAGAAAGTATACTAACAAGTGAGAACACATTATATAGGACAATAGGAAGAAAGATCAATCCACAGAAAGATGTTGTGCCGATACTTAGGATATAAATATAAGAACAAGTAAAGGGCCAATTCTGTCATTCCAGGATCAGAACTGTCTACAATACTGTCATGAATTATGTTGCGTGGACTCTCCAAAATGCTGCCCCACCCATGTCGGATCCTCCAAAAATCCACTACGGAGGATCCGACGCACACGCGGCCACATTTTCGGAGGGTCCGAGCAACATAGATCATGAATTGCTGCCAACAGAACTTAAACTTGTAATCTCATTTACGGATCTTCGCTGAAACATCAATATGCCAAGTTCCACGACGACATAAAGGATAAAGAGTAAAAGAGCATCCCAGTGCACAAGGCATCTCACATTCACGCAGGGTTCGGGGAAGAGCCGTCCCCAAAGGGTGTGATATAGACAATCTAATCTAATATAAGCATTAGTGGATGCTTCCACGGCTTGAACCCGTGACCTATAGGTCACACGGAGACAACTTTAGCGTTGCTCCAAGACTCCCCTTCAAGAAAGGATAACGAGTAAAGGGGAGGCAGGTGCACAAAGCTGGAACCGGGGAAGGGCCGTACCCCAAGGGGTGTAATGTAGACATTCTAACCTAATACAAGCATTAGTGGTTGCTTCCACAGTTCGCCCCGTGACCTATAGGTCATACGAAAACAACTTTACTATTACTCCAAGGTTGCCCTTCAAGTAAGGATAAAGAGTGAAAGGGAAATAATGAAGATAATAGAAAATGGTTATACAGATGATATGAGCTGATAACTGCTCAGAAAGGAACAAAAAGAGAGGAAAGAAAGAAACTAATGCAATATTTTCTTAGTTTTGCTTGGTCTGGAAACTGATAAAGAAAAGAAACTTTAGCACTTCATTTCTCAGCTCAGCTCATACTGTTCAAGTATACTTAACCGGCAAGGATTGTCAAGCAACAAAGTAAAAATAATAATAATAATAATAATAATAATAATGGTAAGGAAAATGTATACTAATCTAACCTAAAAAAATTGTTACAGATTAATAATATATACTCCAATATCAAAATTACTTGAAAGTGAGGAAGAACAAAAATGACATCCAGCTCATAACTTCAAAATATAAGAATTTGATAAAAGAAAGAAGCATGAATTTTCATGCAAAGGAGAGGTAACAGAATATATGGCCTTCATTCACTTTTAAAAGTCATTTATCAACAAAAAAGGCAAAAGAAGAAAATGAATTAATACCTATACTAAAAAAGGCCTAATTAGCTTTTATGTGAACACATGAAAACAAAGGAAAAAACAAAACCCGAGTTTTAGAAAAAGGATACGAATAGGTAAAATGGAAAATATATCAAAATCTTCTATTACTTAACAATAAACATCCATGAACCCTGAATCATCCTGGTTAAACAGTCAAATGATGCTTAAGGAAAAAGACTGAAAAGAAAACATACAGTCGGAAGCGTACAAGTATTTACAAACTCAAAACGGCATGATTTTGCATGCAAAGAGGGGAAAAGAGGATACAACAACAACCCAGTGTAATTTTACTAGTGGGTCTGGGGAAGGTAGAATGTACGCAGACCTTACCCCTATCGGAAGAAGATGGAGAGGATGTTTCCAAAAGACCCTCCGCTCAAAGAGGGAAAAAGAGGATACAGCCCACAAAAAGCCAAAAGAAGAAATGGATTATAACAATATCAAGAAAAGAGAGGCCTAATTAGCTCCATGGGACAAATTTAAACAAAAGAAAAAAAAAGGACTGCCACAAAAAGAAAATGTAAAAAGATAGTAAAACAACAAAATATCAAAATTGTCAACTAATAAGTACACCAGATCATGAACCTGAGATATCTGTTGATACCACTTAAATAATAGATAAAAAGGGAAGAATGAGAGAAACAAAAGAAATCAAAAAGGCACCATAGCGCAAACCTCTGAAAAATATAAGAAAACGGACAAATCCACTTCAAAATAAATCTAAAAGAAAATAAATGAGAAATTTATCCACCGAAAAAAAAACATAAGACATAAAATCTGCCAAGTCCTGTAGGAACTTGGCTTAACAGTAAGAAGTATATTGGATTATATGAAAGTAATGAAATAAGAAGCAAATGGCTACAAATCCAATAACAAAAAACCAAGCCACTGACCATAACAAACTCATCAACACCTTCAATAACTTTGTTTCCTCGTGGTCAGGCCACTATTCATCTGCAAAAATCATGCACAAGTATTAATACATTTAATAAGGGGAGAAGGGTCTGGAGTTGAGTAGAAGGCAAAAGCAAATCAAAATGACATTCAAGGCGACCAATAACATCACGAGCTTGAATGACTTTTAAGTGTAGAATTTACATGTCATACAAACACTAATTTGCTAATGATACAATAGCCTTTAGCTCAGTACAACTGAACCATAAGTTCGAAGAGTACTCTTTGGTCTTTGAGATAGTCAGTGATCAATCAACTAAGCCTCAGTTCAAAATTAGTTCAGTAGACTATATGAATTCTCTATACCCATTCGCTCACTTCATGCCCATTTTACATCAGCTATAACTAATCTAAAACGACAGTCTAGTCGCTAATTACTAAGATATACCAATTAGTGAATGCTTTTGACAGCAGAACCAGGAACACTGAGACGAGAAATATTTACAAAATCATGAAGAACTTTACATCTACCGCATGCCAAACATGGAAATAAAAATAAACACAACAGTGTTAACCTAGTCAACCTAACTTTACATATTTTCTAGCATACCAAATATGTGTAGTTAATCAAATCACTAGCAAACATGTAAGTAGTAGGTAAAAAATCAAGAAAAGTTGCATTTTCTGGAAAGACAATTCTTAAGAGTTTGTAAACATGATGAAAAAAATTTCAATACTGGGAATCTGGTATGCAAAGATCTGCAAAGTAAGAACGGAACAAAAAAACAACTTAACACAAACATAGTACTCCCTTCGTTCCGGTGACACACTTCCATTTTTAGTTTGTCCTAAAAAGAACGACACTTTTCTAGATTTAGAAAGGGTTTAACTTTAAATTTTCCATTTTACCTGTTAATGAAATGATATATAGTCCTACAAATGTTTATAGCCTTGTTTAACCCACAAATTTCAAAATTCTTTTTTTTTCTTTCTTAAATTCCGTGTCCAATCAAACAAATATTTATGACGTGTTTCAGACCACAAATTTCAAGATTCTTTTTTTCATCCTTAAAATTCCATATCCAAATAAAAGTACTTAATACGAGTATTATCAAATAGAAGACTAAGTACCACAAGTGCGATGAGTAGCCACTAGTCCCCGGTAGCTTAGCAGGTGAAGGTTGGCCAACCTGCTTATTTGGGTAGGCCTGCATTAACCCGGGGGCCACTCCCCCGCTAGAACCACCAATGCTGCTACCACCAACACCACCACCATATACCCCTAAACCTGAAGCACCCCCTCCTAAACTACCCAACATCCCACCATAAACTCCTACAAACGGATTCAAAAATCCTACATAAGGATTCACAACCATTCTACCATACAATTGATTCATCATCGCTAGATTCGGGTCCTGACCCATCATCCCCATATTCTGAGCAGCTGCAACTGATGGCGGCATTGCCAGCAGCGGGTGCTGTATAACCTCAGTCGTAATACTGGCCTCTCCGCCGCCAATTTTTGGCTCAGCAGCCTTCTTGCAGTACAACTTCCGTCCATCAAACACCTTACACGGCTCTTCTAAACATCTCTTCGCCTCCTCAACAGTTTTATAAAGAAACAAAGCATACCCTTTTGATTTCCCAGTTGTTGGATCAAACCCCATTGGTCCAGCCTCAATTTCCCCGAAGTTTTCAAAAAACAACCTTAATTTCTCCGGAGCCACGTCACGAGGCACATTACTCACGTAAATCTTCCTATTACCAAACTCCATGGTCCCATTAACGGCAGTGTCCTTCACGGCAGCCAACTTACACGTAGCCACTCGCCCGTTGATTGTCATTTGAGGTTTTTTTAATGCTTTATCAGCCGATTTTCGAGACTTGAAGACCACAAAAGCGTACCCTTTTGCCTTGCCGGTATTATGGTCCATCACGACGTTGCATTCCTCAACTTCTCCGAACTGTTCAAAAACGGAAATTAGGGTTTGGCGCGTGGTCTCACGCGCTAAGCCGTAGATGAAGATTTTCCGGTGAGTGATGTCATTGTCGGCAGCTGAATTGATAAGGTTGTAAAAGGAAGGGTGAGCTATAGCGGTGTCTACGGCTAAGGTAAGGAGTTGATCTTTAGAGTAAGGTTCGAGAAGATTCTGGAGTTTTACGGGTGCCGGCTGGTCGGAGTCCGAATCAGAATCGGGTCGGGTTGGGTTATTGGACTTGGGTATCTTTTGCTGCTTCTTGTTGTTGTTCTGTTTTTTGTCGATTTTTGAGGGTGTAGCATTGATGGAATCTGCTTTTTTGATGATCTTTCGCTTTTTTGCATTGTTTTTAGCCATAAGGAATTTGAACTTCTGTTAAAGAAAGGAAGAGAGTGAGGTTTTGGGTGATATTTTGCCTTACAGAAAGAGAGAAAAGACGAAGGGAAGAAGAGGGTAAGGTTTTGGGTTCGTGATTGTGATTGTAGTTTGTTTTTCGTTTTCTCATTTTGTTTTTCAGAAAGCAAACAAGACTTTAGTTAGTTCTCTATATTTGAGGCCCACAAAGATTGAAGGGCTGGCCCAATGATCAAACAAGACTTGGTGTGTTTTAGGTGGTGGTAGAAGAAGAAATGAAAGGGGAAGAGAAGGTATTGGGGGAGGGGATAAAATAGGTTTAGGGTAGTGTGGTGGCATGCCATGTATAGTGGCGGAGCAGGATTTGAATCTTATGGATTTGAAATTGTAATCCTTTTAAGTTACTGGTTCTAAATTAAAAATTTTGTACATATTCAATGAATTTCTTAAGATAAATATATGATTTGAACAAAAGTTATTGGGTTTGACCGAACCCGCATCCCGCACTTTGCCTCCATCCCTGACCATGTGGCGTCTATCTCACCCAAAAGTCGGGCCATGTGGATGGTCTTTTGCCATGGTGGATTTCTGTTAAAGATAAGGGTATATTTGATAAGCATGGTAAAGGTAGGATATTTTTGTTGACAAAGTATAACGGAGGAGGATAGTTATAGACTATTTAAAAGTAGAGGGGTAAATCTAATTTTTTTTCCTATTCATAATTGTTATTTGAAAATAATCCATATTTCAAAAAGTAATTGAGATATACAGTCAGACCTTTCTATAACAGTATCGTCATATATCAGTCATTCACTATAAAAGTCAAGCTTTTTATGGAATCAATTTCTATGAAATGTTATAATATATGTTCTATATAACATCACATCGCTATAACAACCAAAAAAATTCAAAACAAATAAGGTTGTTATAGAAAGGTTTGACTATAGTTATTTTTTCATGTGTAAATAAAATTTGGACAAAAATACTGCAAACATAAAAAAGCACAAAGATCCGTTTTCTCAATTTTTTCGCTTTTCTTAGCACTAACACATTATCCTGAAAGTCCTTGGACTTCTAAACTTCAAGATATTTAACATAGTCGACGAGAAATTATGGATGGACTGATGTTCCATCTCGTTTTGGGGCCTTCTTTCCTCTAGTTTATGCATCTAGATCTGCGAGAGAGATTTTTTATTCGTCTATTAAAAAAAACTCACTGAGTTCGTTGTTGTTCGATTATGTTCGTAGTTTATCGACAATAACATGTAATTGTCAAGAAAACCGATCATTCTACTTCATGAATGATCACTTATAAAAACTTCAATGATCAAATGTAAGAAAACTGATCATTAACAGCCTAAATGAAGAAACAGGAAGTATCTTATACTATATAGTTTTCTTCAACGACTCTTCTGATAATTCCTTTTGGGTTTTCGATTCACTATTTTTGGTAAAGTTGATAACATCAGACTCATAGTATACAAATACTTCTATCTTCACAAGCTAAGTTTAGAAGGAGCGGCGTTTTTTATATATGTTGAGATGTTGAACTCCCTCTAGCAGAGAAAAAGAACAAGTGATGAGAAATTAAAGTTAAAATAGTAGTGAAAATATGACTTCCTCCGATAGGTGGAGAAAGTTGTGTTTCCCCTTTTTATGAAAATTGTTTTCCTTGAAACACATTGTAATAACCAAACACAATAGAATTACTCACAAAAAATATTTACTTTCGTTATACAGAACATATCCAAACTCCAAACCAAGCACAAGTTAAAATGGCTAGCCATCATGCCAATTCCTTATTTTGTAGTTGTAAAATAGGTAACGTACACTAAACTCCAGTTATGCGCGGGATCCGGGGAAGGACCGGATCACAAAGGGTCTATTATACGTAGCCTTACCGCGACTGCCTGATCACATGGCAGCAACTTTACCAATTACACCAATGCTCCCTTCAAGGTTGAAGTACATAATAACCATGAAATTATGATTTGTTTAGGTAAAATCTGGTAGTAATATATAGGTAACATATTCTCAACGAAATTAGACTAAACACAAACAAGGAAATTAAACCTGATAAATCAAATGCTATAAGAGGTAAAGAGTTTCTCTATAACGAAAAAAGATAATTATCAATCCATACATTATAAGTTGCTACCTAAAACAACAGGCTCTGCACATGGCAACATTTGTACAGTTTAAGAAGATCTCGCTACAGTTCCTTTCTTTACACCCTTGTACAGTTACTCTATCTCCGCGGCAGGGGCATCAGGTATGTTTACCATCCGAGCCTCAGTTGACCTGCTTATAGATATATCTCAAACTATAATGTACACTGTTACAAACCACATACATTTATTTTTAACATGTTCCATCAGCAAGAGCTAGAGCCAAAGCTCTGGGAAAGAAAACAAAGACGACAGCACACATTCTAGCCTCAGTTAGCTGTACAAGTTCCTTCCTACACCATCTAAGCAGCAGAATATGACGCCAGGAAGCTGATCCTCCTCTCTGCAAAAGATATGGAGTAACATGTAATTATATAAGCACATTGAGAATGGAAATAAGCTAATAGCCTTTATTGCAACTTTGATTAAAGGTTCTAAAAACTTCAGAAAAATAAGAAGCTCAAATTAAAGACAAAATTGAGAGGAAGAGCGAAACAGAAACTGGGGGTCGGGGAGTGGGGGTGGTTGAAGATTCAGTTGAAGTTGGGATAAAATACTGATAGCCTATCATGAAAGTGGAATGATATATCAGTTTCATGAATTATAGACCAGTAAAAAATGGAACATTGGAAGTATTGTTTGTGACCCATGTAAGTTTGCAGTCATAGAAGGACTCCGAGCCCCATCACTTTACTTCACCAGCAGCCACAGACCGATACATACATGTCATTTCACCCACCAATAATTCTGAAAGTGATCTCAACTATTAGCTGTCAGAGATACAACTAATAGTTTGACTCTTTAATGATCCTCAGGTCAGGTGATTGCCAAGTGAGCAATCACATGCGGAAAACATGGCTTTCCATTGTCGGAATGGTAAATAATTCTCCTTGTGCAAGACGTCAGGATAAATTGTAGTCTTGAAAACGAGAAGGGAAACAAAAAGGCAAAAGAATACCTCCAGCAGCAACAAGTTTCTCTACACGGGCAACTATATGCTTTCCGTAAGTATATTTCTTCAGAGCATTTAGATGAACCTTGATTCGGTTGAGAATGAGTTCAAGTTGCTGGTCGTCACAAGTCTCCAGCACTTTCTGTACAACGTAGTTGGCAAACTGATCTTTCATCATTGCCTGCACATCAAATTATTCAACGATTCAACTAGTTAATACAAGTGAAATCTTTGGTTATTGCATGATATGTTCTAGCAGTAGCACAATAACTTCTAAGCAAATAGCAGTAAAAATCATTGTCAAACAGCGCAAACAAAGACAGAAGACCTGCTATGAGATCCTTATATATTCAAACAGTGCAAACAACGACAGAAGAACTGCAATGGGATCCCTATATATCTTTCCCAAGCAACAGAAAAAGAACATAACTCTCGGGGGATAAGAAAGTATATAATTAAAAGACAAGAACCCAATCCATCCATCTGCCACACAGGCAGTGACATTAGAGAAGTGGTCTTCTTCCATCTTGCTACTTATGCAGTTCTCTCTTTTCTTGTTCCCTTAGTTTCTTAAAAACAGTTCAGATATAAACAAATTACTCTGTGTCCATATTTTTTTTTTCAAATAAAGTCGAGATTTTTCCATGTGTTTAATCGAATAATTGCAAACATACAAATCCTTTTCTTTCTTGCTTGGTCCAATAGCAAATTACCTATAAATAAATGTATTCTTTTTTATTATCGACTTTGTGTCCCTATGTTGGAGGAGAACTAGTATTTTGTCTCTTCATTTTAGTCAAGTATTCAACTATTGGTGGCTAGTCTGTAACTGTACTTCATTCTATGTTTTCCTGTCCGCAACATGTTCATCTACCTGTATACGTTATGCTTCTCTAGAAACAGATATATAAATACAAAAGAGAAGAAGTCTTCCATGTAAGTGAATAAAGAGTTGGAAGTGATACCCCATGCAAAGCACGGGTTATAAGCTTCTTCAGGAGAAAATTGGTAATTGTCAACTAGGAAATCCTGCTTTAATCTTTTCTTCTACTCCAACATTCTCCCACTTCCAGCTGTAGCTTAGGTTTCCCCAACTTCATCAGAACTCAACTACTAGTAAAAAACAAGTACCATTTTTATTTTTATAACTGCTCGATTTCAAGTTGTCCTGAGGCTATCATTTGTCTCCATCATGAACATGCAGCAGCAAGTATATAAAGTTATGGAGTGCTGACAGAAACAGACCAACATCAACTGCACTAAATGCATCCAGAAGACTGACTGAAGTTGCACTTTCTCCAATGTTTAACTGTTAACTTCAATCTAAAGGGCAGCACTGGAAAAGCATATAGTTCTATAGTAAAAGCTAAGTGCTTCCAGAAAAGGAATTATTGTATTGCTAGAGCATCTACAATATAAAACTTAAACCGATCAAACAGAGTAATGAAATCTTAGATAATCCCCTGAGAGTCAAACAGTCAGCGCAACAGAAATTTCCTGCAAGCTTGAGTATGCCATTACTGAAGAAGCATCTGAGAGAAAAACAAACCTGAAGAGGTTCATTTTCGTCAGTTGTGCCAAGCATCTCGTCTACCAAGGTCTGACGTTCTTCGGGAGTTCCGAAGCTTAAGCACTTCTCCACAACATTGGAGGCAAATTTTTGTTGGCTCATCTGAACTATCTGTCCCATCAGCTTACTAATTATAGACGAACGCTCCTCTGGCTTCCCATGTTCCAGTACATGCTGTAACAATACTTGGCAGCATTAGAGAGAGGTAGAACATCTGAGCTAAAACAATAAGAGAAAGAGTCCATCTAGGGGAGTTGATGATATCTCCCTCACGTACACTACAACAATGAGACATATATACTCATTTATCTATTGAAAGCAAATAGCAAGTAATAGTTAGAAGATTACTAAATATGGGAAAGTTGATGGCAGTATTCTAAAGAAGGACGACAAACACACATGACACACACCAGTAGTTTTAGCTCGTATACAAGAACCCATATTCAAAATATACTTGAATATTTA